AAAATACAATAAAAGTCTGTTATAGAATATTGATCAGGAAAAAAAGGCTTCAATGCCAAGTTTTGGGCTCCAAATGCTCAAGGAAAAAGAAGATACACAGCTACTTTACCTAGACTTGCAATGTCGTTTGCTTTTCCTAAAACCTGTCATTTTTATAGGTCTATTTGCCTTTGATTATTATTAACATACTGTTACTGCAACCTGTAGTGCATTAAAATAAAACACAGTCCCAACACTCCAACTGTCTCTTAATCGTATGATAGAGCTTTTAGATTTCAACCCACAGTAAATACTAGCATCATAACAGTCTGCTCTTGTTTATTTTGTGCTTTGAAACTTCACTGGTCTGTGTTACGTGAATGTCTTCACACCAGGTTTGCCATTTACCCAGGTGAACATGCCCATTTTCAGAAGGATGTAACCATTATATAGTTCACGGATGCTACAGTTAAAATCCGTTTGAACAAAACAAGATTTTGGCTGTCAAAACTATTGTAAAGTGTTAAGTTTTTTTTGGTAAAGAAAAAGTTTTAAGGTTTTGAATTAGAATTAAACTAAGGTGATTTTGGTTGCTCTTAAATTAGCCACTGTATTCAATGCAACTTTTCTAAACCTTAGAGCAAGCTGTGCCTTTTGTACTTGATTGTGGTATTGTCACAGCGATTGTGAACTACCCATATAATATGTGTGCATAATGACTAGAATAAGGCTATACAGCTAATGAGTGCCGTGCACCCCACAGAGCAGCCGAGACAGAATGTAAAGCAGAGAGAATAACAATAAACCAAGTAAAGTGAGGTACGTTCAAATGCTGACACTGAGCATATTTCAAGTTAGGATCAGGGCACACCATCTGTAATATCGACCTCTTTATGATAAAGAGCTGCACAGGAATGAATGCCTAATTTGGGAAATTAAATAACAAGCATAGGACCTCGCCTTTGATCTTCTGGAGAGTAATTTCTGTGACATCCCAATTCGAAGAACTCCTTTTCCGTTCCCTCTAACTTACACACATTACTTTTGAAATGTTTAAGAAATAATAAAGTTGTGTTACACATCTCCATTTTGAAAATACCTCACTTTCACTTTATGATCTGTAAACGTCAGATTTTCAAGAAAAATTTACTGTACCAAATTTCAAACTTTAGCATCTCTAGATGGAAGACAAATACATACTGTAATATATATCACATATTTTGCATATGCAATAGTGTTTTCGTCTCACATGATCATGCTGTGAGGCTCGATAAGTACTGTACATAATTCCTTGCAAATTTAGAACAGTTATTTTGTAACATGCCACAGTCATGCTGCAACATTTGGTCACACAGATAAACATCTGTGTCTTTGATGTTCACCTCGTGATGGTAGACAGATTGTCTGAGAGCCAATGTACAGTATTTGAGCTTTATGGGATTCAGCAATTAGTAAAAAATGTGACAGAGGATATTGTGGATAGGAAGTTAAAAACATTTTAATACTTCAGTTAAATGCATGGTTCATTAATAGTGTATGAGGCAGCACGGTAGTTAGCATTGCTGTATCACCATGCTGGGGCCCTGGCTTCAATTCCTGGGGTGCTGTCTGTGTGGAGTTTATTATGTTCTTCTCATGTTGGCTTGGGTTTCAGTTTCCTCCCACAATTCATTGCGTGTCCGATGCTTGCATCAGTGGTCTGATTTTAATGACATTCAGGAGAGCAGTAGGAAATTACGCTACTGCCACCAAGCATATGATTGGACCCATAAAAAGTTTTTTTTTCTGAAACTGAGTGGCAAAATGTTCTGAGACATTCCACTTATTCCTTTTTCTTTGAAGTGAATATAGTAAATACACAGTACAGTAAAATGTTTTATAAAGCCATATGGGTCATTTATATCTTTCTCTATCTATTGTACTGTGCTGTTAATTATTTGGTTGTATGGCACTTAGCACTGCTACCTCACAACTGAATGGTCCTGGGTTTGATTCCAGTCTTGATGATCTGTGTGGCATTTGCATGTTCTCAGTTTGTGGGTTATTGACAGATGCTCCAGGTGCCTACCACTTCCCAAAAAAAGACTGGCTCTTCCAAATACTTGCTGTCTCTGCTGCCGTGCAAAGGACTTGTGAATGCCTAGCATCTGTTTAAAGGGGTAGAACTATCATATGTGCTCAGTTCAATTTTGAACATTATGCTACCAGGATAGACTCAGGATTGCTACTGTCCTACCAGGATAAGTGGCTGCCTGAAAATGGATAAATGGATGCCTAACATCCTGTGGAATTTCCTGTCAGACTTTGATTTTCAAGGAATGTGGATTTAATATCTCAAGACAGCCTACAGTAAGTCATAAATGCACAAATGGTATAGTTTCAGCATTCCACTTTTTGCTACATTATGATAACTTGATTATAGATTTAAAAGGACACAACAAGAATTCTTCATGACATTAAGATTCTTGCTGCTCACAAAACATATACTGTAAATCATATAAACATTGAGTACCAAACCCACATCTGTAAATAATGGTGACTTGTAAGTGGGGATCATAATCCGTTCATTTTCTAACCATTTAATTTTGGGTTGTGAGGAAGCCGGAGCTTGTCCCAACAAGCAACAGGCACAAGGCAGGACGCCACTCCATTGAATGGCAGACAAACAGACACAAATACACGGTCACTCACACCTAGCGTGTTCTCAGAAACCATTTAACCTACCATTATGTTTTGGACTGTGGGAGGGAACTGGAGCACAGGAAAAACATACAAATTCCACAAACATACAGTAGCACCAAAGGTGTGGAATTGAGCCCCAGAACTGTGAGGTAGCAATGTTAGCTGCTGAGCCACAGTGCCACCCCTGAATTTCAGAGACATGACTCTCTGTAGGAACCTGAGCTGTGTACTTCTGGAATCCTGAAGTGTAAGCCTTGTTGTGAGATTCAATATTGGTGTTTATTGAATAAAACAGATATTCTAACATACAGTAAACTACAAAGACAAATGATTTGAAAATATTTGGGCAGATTTTGTCACTCTTCACCATAGTCACAGCAGGAGTAGCCACCTCCGGAGAAGTAAGTCTTTGTTTAAAAGGCTGCTACCCCCCCTAAAGCAGAGCACTGTTGAAACAAAAGGGCTTGTGTCTGACTTGTTGCTTGTTGCTGGAGGTTGAAAAGAGGAAATCAAAAACTAGAACAACAACATATTGCTCATCTAAATGAGGGGTGTTTTCACATTTTCATTTTCTCTTTGAAGGAATAAAGTATTCTCAATGATATTTAGCTAAAAACAATGCACAGTACCCTAGGCTGCCTTTCATGCATCCATATATAAACATATATTAAAAGCACACTCACATTAGTTCATTAAGGAATGACTTTAATTTATCCCAGTACACCATTTAATTAAAGCCAAATCTCTGTTCTGTTGAGCTTGTCCTCGTTAAAGAGTGAATAGAATCTTGTGCACTACATCATTTCCTTCTTCCCATTAGGGGGACTGATTCACCATCAGGTCAGGGTATACTGTAAGCTTTTTCAAGGAAGCTAAATTAATAGGATTAAGAATTCCTTTGATAGTATTGTGTACAATAGTATATAGACTCCTCTGTTACAGTGCATACTCTCTGCAGTGCTGGGCTGAGAAGGCTGCTGGTTTCTGAAGGGCTGTCTGTGCTGTATTAGAAATGCTGAGCTGGCAAAACATGTGCTTTAGCTTTTTAATGGGATGTTACTTCAGACTATTTAAAGAAAGTTTTTTATGCCTTCCTGAGTTAGGGGGGTGTTGTACTTCCTGAATGTAGAGTAGATTTTAAATAGCTTTTCTTTTTTTTATTTGCAAGAATATCTTTTTAATTCTCAAGAGAAATTATAAGCTTTTGCTGCATTTTGAAAGCAGAAAAACAGCATATTGCTTAATGACATAAAGTAATTAGTCAATTATACTGTAGCAGAGTATTCAATTATAGTATTTTATCTGTCCTCTGAATAGTCCTGCTTTAAAATTTTATATATCCTATTATATTGTCGAATTCACATCTTCGCTTTAATATTCTTGTGACATTTTGTTCAAAATGTTATGTACTGACTTATGGTTTCCAACATTAAGCTCTAATAAGACCTGAGAAAGCTTATTGTTCATTCTTGGAAAGCAGATTATATGGTGAAAACATGAAAATGTTTGAAAATGATCATATTAATTCTGAAAGAAAGAACATTGAAACCACTGTATATCTGAAAGTCCCAAAACTGTCTAAAGTGAAATAAATTTGAAGTACTTTAAGTTTAAAATTTAAGGGCTGTTAAATAATTAAGATAATAATTACAATTTGTGTATTATAATTACATAATTTTAGCATTGTCTTAAAACATTTGAAAAAATAGTGGATTAACCACCCGACACATTTGTTTTGATTTTCCAGACTAATTTTTAAGAGGGTTACAAAAATATAATACTGGGTACAGAAACCCAAGAAATGAACAATTTGAGTAAGGAATGGTCGGCATTAACTGTGGTCGAACTTGTGGAAAAGAAATGTGTGATGATGGGTATCTTTGCTCTTTTATCTCTGTCATAACTGGATAAGAGAAAACAGAGAACAGGTATCCACCCCTTTGGAGTTCACAGTTAACATTAGCTTGATCTTTGCCAAATCATCTTGTACACAGGTACAAGTAGGGATCTGCATCAGCGTGCATAGGCTATAAAAAGGAACAGGTGAAGGTTCATTCCATGCTGAAAGTTAACAAAAAGAAAGACCATGTTTTGGCTTTGGTGTGTCACCTGAAAAAGGTTTCTAAAAATGGTTTTATACCTTTCACAATTTCATAGCATACATTTTACTGTAGATTGAAGATAATGAAAGTGTTAATAAGTTAAAAATCTTAAAAAAACTACTGTATATACAGTGTACTGTATGTTCTTTTCTGCACAACTATCTCTTTGTTTTGTTTTTCTTTTGATGATCAACAGAATTTCAGAGGATGAAAAACATGACTTTTCTTGTCTTACAGGACGCACAGAGGGCAGCCTTGTGGATGGACCCAGAGCAGGCCAGATGGAAAAAGAAAGAGCCAGTCATGTGGCGGATGAAAGACTGATATTTACACAATCCAGTAATGTTCACCAGTCCGAAAACCTGATCACAAAATTGCATAATGGAAACCAACTACAGGAAGTGCCCCCACAGCAGACCAATGGGGATAGCAACTGGAACCATTTTAAACCTAATATGGGAATCAACCAAATGAAGATGTATCAAGAAAACTGTTCTAGTCCCCCTGTAAAGCAAGAGCTATTAGAACAATCCCAGCATATTAAGAATGGAGGAATAAAACATGCATTTAGTGAATCATCATTACTGGAGCTTTGTCAGTCCAAAAAACCCCGGATGGATTCGGAGATAAATGGGCAAGGAAGTCAGATAGCGAAAAATAATGTGATCAGCTCATGGAGTAAAAATGAATCAGCAGAGATGGAAAGAAAGCTAGGCAGCTTCCCTGAGCCTTTGAAGCCTTCAGAGTGTAGAGATGTTCCACAGTGTCCCGACACACAGAAGGAGCTCAACCTGAATAAGGAAAACTGTAACTACTCCAACGGGGACATTTTCTCACTCTCCAGGGACAAGAAAGTGCCAATTTCAAATGGTGCTATGGTTACTTCTTCTTCCATGGAAGACATGCCTGACTACCTGTTGGAGCAAACACTGTCTCAGTATAACCCAGCCCATGTTTCCATTACGTCACAGAACAATGAATCTCAAGACAACGCCATCAAGAGCCCAGCTGAGAGCAACTTGGAAGAGCAAGCCAGAAACTCCCCATCACATGTCTCAGGTTTGCCCATTTCACCCCAGATACCTGTTTCTGTACAGCTGGATACAATATCACCAGAGATCCACACCAAAAGCATTTACAGTCCCAGGTTTGGCACAGATGGATACTCTGGTGCATTTCAAGGAAAGCACCAGAAGCAGCCACAACAAGAGTCTTACTCTCTCCAAGATGTTCCAGGCAAAGATGAGCAACACTTACAAAGTCAGGAGGGGCAGGTCCCCAGCATTGTCCTACCTGCAAGACCCGATGGCAGCTTACAAGATCAAATCCATGTGGAGTGCTTCTCAGACAACGTGGAGACCTCAGATACTTATGTTAAGTCTAACAAAGACTTCAGTCAGGAGCCTTACCTTTCTAGGATGGAACCTAAGTTCCCACTTGAGGAAGGTGAGACAGACAGATTGATTCATTTCAATGATAAAGCTATGGAAAGAACATTGAAAAGCAAAGAATCAGAAACCAGGCAACAAGAGCTACTGTTTGAGAGTCAGAAGCACTTTGACCACCCTACTGCAGGTGGGACCAGCCAGTCTCCTGCTCCAGAGTTAATTAATATTCACCATGTTTCAGCCAACAGTCCGCAACCTCAGCCATCCTATAAACCTCAGCAGGATCAAAAGGCTCTTCGGCACCTTTTAGCCCACCAAGCACCAAGCAGTAATCTGGAGCACAAAAGAGCCTTTAAAGAGGAGGCAGGGGAAATGTTGCAGCAGACCAATTCCTATGCCGAGACGACGTGGATAGATCTGAACTCATCCCAGCCTCCACAACAAGGGGACCTATCACGGTTATGGAAGGATTTCAATTTACGGCAACAACAGCAAATGTCAAATCAGAGTCAGGAGAAAATACTGGATTCTGACAATATGCAGGGATTTCAAATCCAAGGATTCAGTCACTCTAGCATGCAGCAACAACAGAAGCAGTTGTCGGATGTGTATAAACCAAATGTAGAGCAAGATCAAGCTCAGCGTACTGATACTGCTGAATGGCAGCAAATGAACTCCAATACCCCTCCTGGTGTACAACAGGTAGAGCCTCAAATGCAACCAAATAAGCTACAGCATCAATCTTCACAAAGTAGCCTTTCCCAGCAGCAGGTACAACATCCATTTCAGCCCAAAATGCTGCAGGAGGGCGAGTGCAACAGCACACAAGAAATAAAACAGAAATACTTATCTAATTTTTTACAGCAACAGCAGCAACAGCCACCCCAGGATCGCACAGAAGAACATCAGGTACTCAATACTCTTCAGCAGCATCCTTCCCAAGACACATCAAGTATAGGAACAGGTCAGCCAAAAGACTCCTGGAAGTTGGAAGAATTCATTAGGTTAGAAAAAGGGTTAAAATCCTCAGACTGTAAATCCCAGCCACCGCAAGTGCAGCAGCAAACAGCAACACTTTCACCTAGTACAAATACCCCTGGATTTTTAGATTCCTCATCGCCCAGTGCACAGCCTCAACAAAACGACTCATCGCACTTTACCTATGGAAAAACCAATAACACAGTAATGCATCGGCACTGTAAATTCAGTAATGCAATGGAAATCCAGCAATCCCAATACTGTCCCAATCCTGCTGCCCCGAAGCAATATGTAGAACAGCAAAGGATACGAGAACAGTCAAACCACAGAAATGTCTCTCAGCTACCACCCCCATCAACACAACGTCAACCTCAGCAAGGTGCTTTAAACCAACACATCCTGGGACTCATGACTGCGCAGATGTATCCTAAAACTGAGTCACAGGACTCATGTGCACAAGCTCAGCAAGGGCAAAACCAGAACCACCCAGGAGATCTTCAAAAACATGCCATATTGCGAATGCACCTGTTGCAGAAACAGGAAAAGCAAGCTTACCAGCAGAATCTGGAGGATTTCAGGCATCTGCTGCAGTCCATCAAAAAAGAGAACCATCCTATGTCTGAGCCACCTGTGCCTCAAACAGCCAGAGATCTAACGAACTCAGCTGTGAACAATATGATAAAGCAAGAATACTCACAGATGGACTGTGATCAGTCACGGCAGAAGAGCATCATTGCCACAATGGAGCACCAGCTGAAGCAGTATCACCCCTCACCCTTATTTGAAAGGAAATCGCTAGTCATAAAGTCCCCTAAGCAGGTGAAGGTTGAGACCTCAGGTCCTGTAACAATATTGTCAACGAATGCTGACCTAGGAAATGGAGACATTGGAGCTGCCTCCCTGAAAAAAAAAGATTGTACGCCAACGAAGAAAACAGAGGCCAATCTCAACAGCTTCATAGAGTCCCCAATGAAACTGTTGGACACTCCCATCAAAAACTTGTTGGACACCCCTTTTAAAACTCAGTATGAGTTTCCATCATGTCACTGTGTTGGTAAGACTAAGACAAGTATTCTAATAATGGGTGTTAAATTTCATAAACGTCAAACCAAAGAAAAATATAATATCCTAACAAGAATCATTAATGATTGGTTCAGACTTTCCTAGAATACCTCCAAGAATTAAAAACCATCCAAATTTTAAAATGATCTAGTGTGCAGTAAATACATATGTAAAAGGGTAAAAGAAGATAATGGATAGGATAGTATCCATTATCAAGTAGTAGCAAGTAGTGTGTTGCTGGCAGTAAATTTTAAAACCAGCAACGCCAGGATTCATTCTAATAAGATCTTATTACATAAAAGACACATTGATAAAATGGTTTGGTAATTTTTGGTAATAAATTAAAAAAGGCAGATAAAAAGATAAATTTAAAGATAAAAAATGCTTTGAGTAAAATCATCTGTACTTGAGTCCATGTATGAATTTGAGTGTGCACACTCCTGGGGTAGAAGCTGTTCACAAGGAAGAGGCTGTTTCTGCCATTGTTAATCCCCTTTACATATCTAAATAGCTTAATCATATCTCCCTGAAGACTTCTTTCCTCCAGGCCAAATAGCTTCACTTCTTTTAAAACTGCACTCTTTAATTGTGTATTAAAGCACATGCAAGAAAAGTAAATCACAAAAACGGGATGAATTTAATCCTGCACAGTAACTGTACATTAAAAGTGCTTCTGACTCATGCTATAAGGGACTTATTTTCAGCACATACATCCAGATAGATTTTTACATTGAACTCACAGAAATATAATGTACACTAAGCTATATCTATTACTTTTATGTTCACATGTGTTATTTTAAAAGTATTGTTCTGAAGGTCTGAAGGACTTTTTAAATAAACTAATCTCACAGATGTGTTAAAACTGTTAAAAAATGAGTGAAAGGTGATTTTTCTTTGTTTTTCTTTCATTGCAATCAAGTAATTTCTAATTAATGAAATTTGTTTTTTTAACAATCTGAATCAGATTACTAGTTTAGTGTAGTTTAGTTTGTGTGGACGAATTCCTTTGTTAACCATGACTACAGCCTGAAATTGATCAAAATGTGTGCTTTACAATGCAGGAGATTCAAAAATTATATCCTTTTTGCACCAAAAGATTTTTTAATTAAATAACCCTGATGAACTACTGCATGCACTTCAGATATAAATATAATATATATATAAATTTATATTTAATATAAATTTTAAACTATAACCTATTCAAATCAATCTCCTTTGATAAATACAGATCCTTAGTTTATTCAATGTGAGCAGAGACGAAGTGCATTTTTGGGACTTCTCTTTCAGTTCTTGAGTTCTGTTTGCCTGGCCTCTTATATGAGCTGTGTTATCCTAGACAGCAAGATGAAACCCAGAAGCACATTTCTTTCATTTTCAGACAGGTCAATGAGGCAGTTAAGCCCATTATATACAGTCAGATGTGATCAGTTAAGATACGATTTTCTAGTTACCTCAGGCAGTTTATGATGCATTGAGGTGCAACTTTATGGGACTGGAAGTCCTATACATGTTTAATATCTCATGACCTGATTACCTCACATAATGTAATTGTTTGACACATATTCACAAGTCTGAATTCTGAATTACAGTATAAAGGCTTTTCAGAGAGATACCAGCTTGGTTTGGGAATTATATACAAACAAGCAGAAAGGTAGAAAAATAATTCTTATGCCTTTTCAAATATTCTGTAGTTTTATATGAAAAATTAATAGTGATAACCTTTATTTTACATACTGTAGCACCTTTCTTGGAACATCAGCTCAAAATTCTCTTAAATAACAAAATGAAACAAAAAGACAGGCATAGTTATTTTCTTCTTAGATAAATCATCTTTCATTCCTCGCTTCTTTTGATCTAATTTTGCATTGCTTCATCCTGTAATGGGTAGTGCCCAAGCAACATGTAAGAAATGTCTAATTTAAATGTGTATTATGTGTTTTTTTCTGTATGGTAATACTGTATATTATTACATTATTCTACAGTGATATAAATCACTATGAATCGTTAATTACAATTTTTTTTTTCTCCAACTAGAACAACTCTGTGAGAAAGATGAAGGCCCTTACTATACTCACCTGGGGGCAGCTCCAAATGTAGCAGGAATCAGAGAAATCATGGAAAAAAGGTAAAGTGTGAAATTAGCATATTATCAGTAATTCTAAATAGATAAAATGTGATTAATTTGTTAAACAGCTGCTGTGTGGCGATCTGACAAAAGAGCACAATAACAAAAATGTGCACATATTATGAATTTGTTAATAAAAGAAGAAAGACAAAATTTTACAAATCATGAACTAACCAAGCCAGATCACGACTTGATGAAAATATAGAGTAATATAATTTGGGTAGAATTCAATATAATGAACATTTACATACAACATTCAATTTTACCTATAAAAATGTAAATTGGAAGTTATATATTAATTAAAACAATAACCATTTTGACATGAAAATGATCATATACAAACTGACATCCAGCATGGGCATGGAATTCAGCCCTCTTGTGATCCATAAACCAGCAGTTACTGACAGTCTGGGCCAGTCCAAAATATAGGATGAGTCACTCAGAAGAGGATATATTACAACAGTAAGTCACATGGATATGAGCATTTGTCCTAGTGAGATTTCTATATGTCATAGACTTGAAGATTATATTCAAAAACACTGATTTTTATATGTGCTTCATATTTTTTTGGCCAGGTTTGGCCAAACAGGCAAAGCCATCAGGATTGAAAAAGTGGTGTACACTGGCAAAGAGGGTAAAAGCACACAGGGATGTCCCATTGCCAAATGGGTAAGGTAGTTTTATGTATCATTTTTTCCCACGCTAGCACTTAGCTGTGCTTTGTTGAAGTATACAGTACATTGGCTAAATATTATGCTGTCCAGGAAATAATTAGAAATTAAGTTGAGTGCTGAGACACTGCTGTTGTGCCCTTGAACCAGGCACTTCAACCTTACTTGCTCCAGTAAAATACTCAGCAGTATAAATGGGTACAAATGTGTCACTTTGAAAAGAAAACAATTTAAAAAATCGCCATTTAGGCTAGTGAAAACAGGGAGTATTGTCTTGACATTACTCTGCACTTTTGACAGAAACTGGGAAAAACAATGTTTCATCTACTCAGAGTGACCTTATATGAGCAAACATCATAACCCAGATTTAAATCCACCTTTGAATCAGTAGCTTCACAAAGTCCAAAGATGAGCCATATCTTGTAAAAGTAGAGTCTGACTTAAAAAGCACTTTCAATCAAAGGCTTGCACAGATTATAAAGACAAGTTAAACCAGTAGTTTTTAAGATAATAATGAAAATAATATCAAAACTAAAAAGTGGCAAAAGGAATTTGTAAGATAAAAGGATGAAAATAATTCTTTCAGAAAAGAGTGCTCAACAGGTGGCAAACTAATGAGTAACTTTCAAAAAGCAAAATCACAAGAGAGAGTATGTCTCTTAAGTTTTGTTTCAACTCTTGTAGGCACAACATACTGTATAAGTAGTTCTTGGGGGGGGGAGTACTTTAAGAGCTCTTTGAGGGCTTTGTTACCTACCATTAAGGTTTCATTCACATATTTATGAGCCACTAAAAATAAAACAGGAGCCATCTGAAAGCCTTCCACAGGCCAAAACAAAAATGAGAAAACACTTCAGAGGTGTGCAAGTGGATTTTTGAATGGTTTCTGAACTACGACTGCTCTGTACAGTACACCCAAATTAAGTATTGAAGATAAGACCCCTTTATTAGCCATATACAATTTCTTGCACATACAGTACCCCAACTTGCTCTCAATGAGACACAGAGGCACATAAATAGGGAGAGAGAAGCTTGGGGTCAGATCACAGGGTTAGCCATTATCTATATACTGCACCCCTGGAGCAGTTGGGGTTGAGGGCCTTGCTCAGGGGCTCTGCCAAGTAGGATTCCTCTGCCGGCTGCAGGATTTGAACCGGCAACCTTCCAGCCACAGTGCCACCCGCGGACTCAGTGTCACCTGGAGTTTTCTCCTGGACAGGGTTCCCAGAATACCTCCTGACACTGAGCACCAGCTTCGGCCTTCCTCTTGCAGGTGATACGTCGGAGCGGGGTGGAGGAGAAGCTGCTGGTGCTGGTGAGGGAGCGTGCCGGGCACAGCTGCAGCACGGCAACCATCGTGGTGCTCATCCTCATCTGGGAGGGCATCTCTCCCACTCTGGCTGACAGGCTCTACTCCGAGCTAAGCCAAACCTTGAAGAAGCACGGGGCTCTCACAAACCGGAGATGCGCACTGAACGAAGAGTAAGGGGCACTTTCCTTCATCTTTCTCCAGCCTGTCTGCCAACAGAATCTCTTCCCCCATTTTATGTTCTCCCATTTTCGGTGATTTAAATAGTCATTGATGTTTCTGTAGAAGAACCGAAAAGATCTATCACAAGACAGCACAGCTTTGTCTGTGTCATTCATGACAGTTCTGACTTAAAAAGCATGCCTGGCTTGGCTTGGTGTTAAGCCTTTTACTGTATCAGGCATCTCACGGGCTGAAAAAAACTAAAATCATCTTCATAAAAAATCAAACTTCACAAAAAAATATTAAAAGGCAGCCAATAATGCTCACTCTACTCCAAACTTTTCTATGAGAAAGAATTTGATTTTTCTCAATAAATTATAACTGAAGCACAATACAGTATTAACTGTAGACCATTTTAAGTAGTGCCTTTATAAGCAATCATTACAATACATACAAATCTCATATTTCAATAACATAACGATTTTCAAAATAGACAATAATTTATTAAAAACAAAAAACTCAAATTCAAACACAGTACAAAAATAAGTAAAAATAAAATAAATAATTACTGAGAAACGTGAGGGACATAGACCAATAATGCCTCTGCAGTGCAAAGTGAAAATATTGTGTTTGTGAATATCCATCAAAATTGTGTCAAAATTAATGTCTTCAAGGTTTTAGTATCGGTTTAATATAACTGAAGGTAAGGACCCAATAAAATAGTCTAAGTCTTAACACATTGAAGATATTGCTGTCATCCAATTTTTTTTATATACAGTTAGTACAATCAGAGAATAGTAAATCAGCTACCTCAGTATTAGGCTTAGTGGGTTTACAGGTCAGAAGTGACAATTCAGACTATGTAAGTTTAGTATGTGACTGAGAAGAAATATGCAGATATTAGGTAGCAGAGGGCCTATAATAGAGTCGTACATCTCCAAAGACTTAGATATTCCAGCAAGAGAGAGAATGTCAGTGCTCAGCAAAGTAAGATTTAAGGGCAGTTTCAGAGATGCCAAACCCTGTAGCCAATTAAATAGAATATCATGATTTACAGTATCAAGTATAGCACTGAGGTATAAGAAAATTAAGATATAGTTCCCAAATCATCTGTCATTATCATGAACAATTTTAACAACAAAGCTGTGTAATTGTTTAAATCCAAACCTAAAGAGTTCCAAATGCTCTAAGACAGATGGAGCAGCTGTTGTATTCATGTCATGCCACTTGGTTGTTCTTAATTTGAATAGTTTAACCACCTTATTAAGTACTGGTAGAGTTCCAAGCTTTTGTCTAATTGAGCATCACTGGATAAACCTGAATATATTAGTGATTATAGTGGATTCTTCATTGAACAGATCTTTAAAAGATGTTGCTTGCAATGACATTTGAATGCCTCCTTTCCCTTGGTCAGTCCTGTCCCTTCCTTTTTGATCTAAAGAGACTGGTTCATGGATACTTGTGCCATAAACTGTTCTTGAGGCAGTAAAAAAAACTACAGATAAAATGTATGTCTGCGAAATATTGAATTACCTGTTCTTCATGTCAGAGGTTCTCCTTTGATTCTGTGTCTTTGCTTTTGGTGATCCATCTTCTTCTGCTTGGATGTTGGGTCACTGTCATTCACAGAAAGACTTGCACTTATGATCAGTAAGATCATCGATCATTGATCTTCTGGTCACATTTGGCATCTTTTGTGGCATTAAATCCCATTGCTTCTTCGCAGGTATTTGTGAAATGTGTCTAAAAGTGTCAGTGGTTTGACCATCGATTTTGCCAGGATGTTTTGGGTATGTTTGTTTTTTTTCTGCAAATTCAGGAAGTTGACAATACTAAACATTTTTGTTAATGAGAAGAATACCATTAGAGTGGACAGTTTCATCTCCTTCTGTATTAGTCAGACCATCGTTTCCAACTTCAACTTGTTGGCCAAAAGATTTGTATAGTGTGCCTATGAAGGAATACATGGCATCTTTTACTATAAAGAAACAGTTTCAGTCCAACTTGTATATCTTGACAGAATGTGATCTTGACCCAATGGCATGAAAATTGAGGGTTTTGGTGGTTTCATGCTGCTGTAGTCTGTCTGCCAGAATAGATGTTTCAGCTGGTAAATCTTTTGCTTGTTCTGCCTTTAAGCCTCTCCCCGAGTATGCAGAATGCATGAATTCTAACATGCCTTCCTGGTTACTGATGCAGCACTGGAATTGAAGGAGTCCTTCCTTACTTTACCCTTTTGATGCTGACTCTACATTAGCCATTGTTTCACAGGGAGGGTGATGGTGTGGACTTTAAAACCAGGCACATTCTAATATTTTTGCAAGGAAACAAATACTGGATATGTGCCAACAACAATAGACATTATTCACATTATCCAAAGCCATATAAGGTATTCAAGCATGGACATAACTGAAGCAGTTTAAAAGCTCCAGGCACCATGCCAGAGCTCAGTTATGTATTATGTTGAGCACCAAGGGGCAAAGGTCAGATAAACAAGTCAAGATAAAACAAACGGAATAGGGCCCAACAAACAGAGATGAATTCAATAACGCACACAGGTGTAAATTGTGCAAGCAAGATGTGGTATTTTAGAGGCATGAGAAGAGGTTAGAATGTGGTGCTGGATGTAATTGAGCTTATTTGTGAAAGATTTTAAAGAGGTTTTTAGAAATGAGATGAAGCAAGTAATGTGACAGGACAGCAAGGTGTTATTAATTGGCTCCTGGGAATTGGCCCAGGTGTGAGTGTGCGTGTTTGTGTTTTTGAGTGCCCTGCGAAGGACACACATCCCATATCCTGCCTTGTGCCCATTTCTTGTTGGGACAGGCTTCAGCTCCCCCATGAACCTAAAATGGATGGATGGAAATCCCATAACATAAAGCACAGGCTGTCTCTTAAATGTCATTTTTGACTTAGACATGGCTTCTGAAAATTGGGTAAGAGTATTTTGTGTTAGAAATACTGTAGTAGAGCAAATGTTAAATAGAAATAAAAAGTTGTAATATACTTCAAATTTCACCATAGCTATGTCAAGCAATAAAAATGGTATGCCAACTTAACAGACATTCCTCTGCAGAACACCACATGATATAGTTTATTGAAATTTGAAACATTTTTGTAAAAGGTCTTCTATTAACGAAAGTAGGCCAGTAAAGCTGTCTCAGAATCACATGCATGTAAAATAAGATGACATTCCCAGTGCATTAGGTCAATGAGAGTTCTACATGAAAGGCGTAGTTGTCTTCAAAATGTTAATGAAGCCTTTTATGCCCTTTGTCTGCAGTCTCTCGGGGCTTAATTTTCTTTAAATTCTCCAGGAATTTATTACCAAGAAATGAATAATTAATAAGAAATCTTACTGAAAGTATTGGGGTGGTGGTTAGAGGGTATAATTGTCCCATGCTATCCCATAGTTCTTTTTAGAAAGTATAATTGAAATACTGTTTAGAGTCCTGTACTATACTAGGGGACCACCAACAGTCCTGGATTTCGACCTTAACTCTTCCTGATCAAAATTCCCTCTAAAATATTTTCTGACATACATATTTTGAAATCTAGCAGGTCCAGAAAGTTAGTGAGATTTTAAAAGTACACATTAAGTGCTGATTGACTCTAAAGTTGATCACAACCAAAAGGCCAAGAAGTGAATCAACAGAATGTAAGAACAAGAAGTGAATTTATAGACTTTAACTCATAATTTGTAAGTCACAGTTACATTCAGTTACAGGACTGAAACTGATAAATAATTATGTTAATATCTGTGATGACTACATCACGCGTATCTGTGAAACCCACATATACATGGTGTGGGGAGTACCTACATTTTCAAATGATTTCCCTTATTTTACCATTGAACAAGAATATGACAAAATGTTCAGTTCATCTGATTATTAATTAAAACAAACCTGACTTCCCATGTTGATCAATCCCTCTGGAAGCTGCAGAGACAAGGCATACTATTGATTCTGGCAGAATAAACAAATAGTGGATCACTCATAAGTCACCTAATTAATGCCCCTGCCAGCGAAAAAAGACCATATAAAACGTTGGGTCGAAAGTCAAATTAGTTCCAAACCAAAAAACAATTTAGTTTTGAGCCTCAACTCCATTCCTAGTGTTCAACTGACAACATAGATATAATTTAGCAAATGCAACATACTATTGGTAACTACAGAACCTCAGCACACTGTGAGCTTTTAGTTATAGAGCCACTTAGAGCTCATAAACTAGAAAAAACTATATGTAACCCACCCCATACTGAATGCAAAATGCTTCAAATGAAAGAAAGACTTTTAGAGATGCTATTTACAATATGCCATTGATTCACTTTCTAGGAGGACATGTGCTTGTCAAGGATGGGATTCAGAAACTTCCGGAGCCTCCTTTTCTTTTGGGTGCTCATGGAGCATGTATTACAATGGCTGTAAATTTGCCAGGAGCAAAGTTCCTAGAAAATTCAAACTTCTTGGCGATGACCCGAAAGAGGTGGGTAGGATACTAGAATATTTTGTTTTACTGGCTCTTAGCTACATAATGTAATACAAAACAATGACAGCCATAAGTTCAAGTCCATTTCATGACAAAAAACTGATTTTCATTTACATTATTAACTTGCCTCTTTACTTTTTAGTTAGTCTGCATCTGTAATTGTAATATAAAGGTTAACAAAAAGAAAGTACAATTAAAACCTGGACCTGCTTTGCTCTTTTGAACTCTATGTGATTCTGTTTTGACTTCTAGAGTGGAACAACTGCTAACCTAACATTTACAAATATGAACATCAAGGTTTTGTGTTTTAAGCATGTACTGCTTACAGCCATAGCTAAATTTTCGGTGTTAAAAGTTTGGTTTTACACAGGAAGAAAGGCTGGAGCAAAATCTACAGAATCTGGCAACATTAATGGCACCTGCTTACAAAAAGATGGCACCTGAGGCTTATGGAAACCAGGTATGACACAGTGGTTTCAACGTCAGTTTTAATTGTTCCTTATATACTGTAGATTTCCTTATATATAAGCATTATATAGATTTACCTTCTAATTTATTTATTTCTGTGGTGCATACCACACCTATATGACCTAGCTACATGAAAAAGTTGAATAAGAGGTTAATTGAGTTAACACTAAATAAAAGAAAATACTTTAATTAACAATACATGCTGAACCAAAAATTCCCTGTTTACACATTTCCCCATTGCTGCATGATCTAACAGGAGTCCCCAATACCCCTGGTGCTGATTTTGATTCATTCTAATATTTACCTAATCGAATCAACCTTATTGATTGGAATGTTTGCATGTTTGGTTTTCCTGGTTTGAGATGTGATTTTACTTTGTGGTATCCTTAAGAATTAAAAACGGTCCAATGGTTCAGTCAAATTAAGGCAATTAAGAGTTCAAGTGTGTTGGATGGATCAGATCAGTTAGTTGCCTCTGTAGGATATGCTTTCCAAAGTCATCTAGATTGCCTTTTTATTTTTCAGGTTGAATATGAACACAGAGCGTTAGACTGCCGCCTGGGGCTGAAAGAGGGGCGTCCATTCTCAGGAGTTACTGCCTGTTTGGACTTCTGCGCTCACGCTCACAGGGATCTGCACAACATGCAGAGCGGCAGTACGCTGGTGAGTACATTGTGAACAAACAGTGTTCCTACTCCAAGGGGCTCCCAAACATCAGAGCAATAATGTCAACACAATGAAAATAAAATCCATTAATTCTTGAATGATTAAGATATTTCCTTTCGAGATCAGGAGATCAGGAGTTTACAAGATGTCTATGACTCTCTATTCATAGTTGCATGGAGCCATTCAGTGAGATCGGTATACAAATTAAAGATTTGCAATTCCACCAAAGATTACCTTGTCACTACATCTTATGGTGTAGACGAAAATATGGAACCTTATCCCCAGAATAAAAATGTATCCATTTCTTCATGCATACACAATGCTATTTCAATGCTATGTTCTTGAGACACTATTTTTACTCTCTTACGGTTTCTTTTCACATATTGTTCTCATAAAAAATAATCCTTTACCTGGATAAATTAACATCTGATCATGTTTCATGTTTATTCCTAGAAATGACTGCAACACTGAAACACGAAGAGTATACATGCGGTGTCTTTAGGGCCTGAAATTGAAATAATGCTTAATAGGAATCTTTCAGGATCTCCAATCAAAACATAGGGATAATATTTTTCACATGTCATTATTGACAATTTGGCAATTTTATCTGGTACAAGTTAGCTTCCCCTATGTATGTCCTCTCAGTCAGTACTATTACATAGTGAAGGATTTTTTTAGTTTCCTCATATACTGTATGCTACCATATTAAGTTTTTGGAAATGCACAAACAATATCGTATATTTTTTTCCTGCACCCACAACATATGGTCTTGCTATAAATTACTTTACTTTTTAAAATAATCTGAAACAGAACAAAAACAGCACTAAAACAAAGAGTAGGATTTGTTGAAACTATATTTAGGGTCACTGTATCATTCATGGTAGTCTTCTTTGTCTACTAAAAAAATACAAAAAAAATGTTATTTTGTGGATTGCAAACTAGGTATATACAGTGCCTTGCGAAAGTATTCGGCCCCCTTGAACTTTTCAACCTTTTGCCACATTTCAGGCTTCAAACATAAAGATATACATTTTTTATTTTATGTGAAGAATCACCAACAAGTGGGACACAATTGTGAAGTGGAACGAAATCTATTGGATTTTTGAAACTTTTTTAACTAATA